GCAAGTATGTTTTGGCTTGATACTCTTCATGATTGTAAACTCGATCAGCCTTTATCATTACCATTTGATCGATATCGTCTTGCACATGAACACCGAACAGGTCGTGGAACATCGATTTCTTTTGATTTTGGTCAAGATCTCTCACATCACTTTCTCATTCATGCATCATCAAATAACATATCATTGGAACAACTTGCACTTGCTACTTATTATGTCTTTTTATTCAAATTAACGAATGGAGAAAAAGATTTATGCATTGGAATAAATACACATGGACGATATAGAGATGAATTTAACTCTATCATTGGAATGTTTGTGAATGCAATACCTGTGCGATGTCAACTCGATCCTCATTTACCATTTCATAAACTTACTAAGCACGTTCAAGATATTATGATAAATTGTATGAAATATTCATATTTTCCACTCCAACGGATTCTCAATCAACATCCAAATATATCAAATCCTGTATTTCTTGATACATCATTTGAATTTATATCACCTATAAGAAGAGATGAAGAGAATGAAATAATGATTAGTGATAGTCGACTTTCTTTACTACCTCACTCAATTAAGATTAGTGAAGATGAGATAATGAGTAAATTCGATTTCATTCTTAGTTTTCAACATGATCTAAATCTAAATGAATTTTCATGCACCATCGATGCTTCAATTGATTTATTCAATGCTGAAACAGTTTGTATAATTGCACAAAGATTACACACAATGTTACATCAAGAATTTACATCTTTTAATAGTCAAATAAACAGACCTGTTCATGAATTATCAATAATATTATCAAATGAACAATATCTAATGCAATCATTGAGTAATACACAAATGTCATTTTCATCTTCTCTCACTTGTATTCATCATGAGTTTGTATGTCAAGTAATGGAAAATCCACAAAAACTAGCTGTTGAATTGGATGAACAATCATTAACATATAATGAATTATTATTTTATGTACAACAACTTGCTCTGCAAATAATCAATAAATATGATATTAAATTGGGTGATATCATTTGTCAATGTGTGGAACGAAGTTTATCAATGGTAAGTTTTCAAAGAAATAATCTATTATTATTGTTTATCTCTAATTTTATAATTATAGATTATTGGTTCATTATCCATTGAAATAATTGGAAGTGTATATTGTCCATTATCACCAGAAAATCCCGAAGAACGTCTTCGAAATCTTTTAGAACAAACACAAGCTCGTCTTATACTTGTTCATTCATTAACAAATCGAATATTTAAAAATAATTTTATCACATATGATATTGATACAGCTATAAACATTAATGATAAAATTACAAATGATGATCTCAATCAATTAACAAGTATTTCAATAACTCCAGACGATATATCATATATTGTTTTTACAAGTGGCTCAACAGGAATACCAAAAGCGGTTTGTTTAATATAATCCTTTGAATTCTTGATTTGTATATCTATGTATTTAGGTTCAAGTACGACATCGTAATTTAACTGTTTATATGCAAAGTGTTGCCGAAATGACAACATTGAAAAAAA